CGGGCGCGTTTCGTGGGCAAGAACGGTGCCTGCAACGTGGCCCATAAAAACATCCGGGAGCAGGGACGCTTCCTCCAGGATGTCTTCACTACCCTGGTGGACCTCAAGTGGCCCCACACGCTGCTCATCTTCACCATGTCCTTCCTCTGCAGCTGGCTGCTCTTTGGCATGGTCTGGTGGCTCATTGCCTTCGCCCACGGAGACCTGGACCACAGCACCCGGCTGCAGCGCAGCCCCGAAGAGGGGTCGGCGGGAGCCCCAGACAGCTTTGTGCCCTGCGTGACCAGCATCCACTCCTTCACCTCTGCCTTCCTCTTCTCTATTGAGGTGCAGGTGACGATTGGCTTCGGGGGACGCATGGTGACGGAGGAGTGCCCGGCCGCAATACTGGTGCTGATCGTGCAGAACATCGTGGGGCTGGTGATCAATGCCATCATGCTGGGCTGCATCTTCATGAAGACCTCGCAGGCCCACCGCCGGGCTGAGACCCTCATCTTCAGCAAGCATGCAGTCATTGCCCTGCGGGAGGGAAAGCTCTGCTTCATGCTGCGGGTGGGTGACCTCCGGAAAAGCATGATCATCAGCGCCACCATCCGCATGCAGGTGGTGAAGAAGACCGCCAGCCTGGAGGGGGAGGTGGTACCCCTCAACCAGATTGACATCCAGATGGAAAACCCTGTGGGGGGCAACAGCATCTTCCTTGTCTCCCCACTCATCATCTACCATGTGATAGACAAGAACAGCCCCCTCTACGACATCTCCCCCTTGAACCTTCACCACCATGAGGACCTGGAGATCATCGTCATCTTGGAAGGGGTGGTGGAGACCACCGGCATCACCACTCAAGCCAGAACCTCCTACCTGGCGGATGAAATCCTCTGGGGCCAAAGGTTTGTGCCCATCGTGGCAGAGGAAGATGGGCGATACTCTGTGGACTACTCTAAATTTGGCAACACGGTGAAAGTGCCCACCCCTTCCTGCACTGCTAGGCAGCTGGAGGAAGACAAGAGCATTATGGACACCATGCCATTGTCCCCTAAAGGCACAATAAGGAAGAGGTCTGTCAAGCTAAAGCCCAAGTTTACCATAAACGATGAGCCTTCCTGATGCCTTTTGACTGGGAAACTCTGTTAGGGCTTTATGTCTGAAAGATCTCATAAACTCAAAACACTGAGGTGGCCTCTTTTTTTTAAATTCAGGTTGGTAGCACAAGGTATGTTCTGATGTTATTTATTGTGGGATAAATCTAAAGCTAATTATATTTTTTTAAAGGTGTGAGAGATTTCAAGCAGCACTGGGAGTAGGAAAATATGGTCTGCAGCTTTAAATTTCAATTCAGACTGTCCTATTTAATTGCACAATTATTTTGCATTGATTCATCTGCAAGTAATGACATTTTCTCAAAAATTAAATATATATTTATCCTCAGAGTTTGCAGTACTTAGGGTCTTGCAGTGTCCTAAACTCAGTAGTTTTTAACTGTTTTTTTCTAACATGGAACAAACAATATAGCAAACTAAAATATTAATAATTAATAAAGTAGGCTGGATTTAAATGATAACAAAAAAGTCAGGCAGTGTTATGTATGACACAAGACCAGATCTGGAAGTGTCTATGTATTATACTCCATATCTCAAAGAAATTAACTGCCAGATTTGCTTCATCCATATTATATTGTATGGAGCCACTCCTACCACATGCAATATGAAATGTATTTGAATATTTAGTTTTGTTTATTTTAAAACCCTTTACACTTTTGAAATAAAACATTCAGGAATACTTTTTCAGACTGTACATTTCCAATATTAAGCCACACTTCACCTTTAAAAAGAGTAGCAGGTAGTATACAACCAAAATTAATTATAAATAGGAAAAATTCTGTATTCTAATTTCTAAAGGAAGAAAAGCAGCATCACACACACACAGAGCCACACGGCAATAAGATACCCGGTAAAAAGATTAATCTCTCCCTTAGGTCAGAGTGAATTCTGTTAGATAATCAGGGAATATAAATAGAATTAAATATTTTAAAGGAAAGGGCAATGCTGAGTGCTGAAATTATATCTGCATGCAGTAAGCAAAACCTTTCACTCCTTTCCCTTTTGTAAAATAAGCCGAGGTTTTTGTGCTTAGGGAAAGGAGGGATGTGTCAGGCAGCGTGGTCACTTCTGGGATGCTGTGTCATAAAACATACTCCTGCTGAGGAAACGTTTCCCTTCGCATTTACATCCTGACCTCCCTACACAGCCGGTGCCTGCCTTGGTTTTTAGCTGAACTCAAGATTTGGCATTTCCCAGCAAACACGAAAGAGCCGTGTTCACCTCCTCAGTTCCACTGTGACAATGGGAGCAATTCCCCTCAGCACACTCCCGCAAATCCTCAATCTGGGAATAGTAGTAACAGCAGCAATTTTATTTCTATGCAGGATTATTAGGAGATAGCAGCAGTATTAACCACAGTGTGCTATTAACAGTGCAAACTGTCACTCAAGTAAAAAAAGATAATGTCGAAATAAAACCTAAATAAGCATTACAGAACTGATCCAACACCACATTGCACAAGCTGTGCAGGGAGGCATCGCGTTACTTTCAAACCCAATTGTTCAAGGAACTTCTAGTATCAAGTTCTAGTGTGTTATGTAATTCACAACAGACACCTGAAATGGTTTGTGTTAGCAATAATATGGCAAATTTTTGATGCCTTGTCAGTGTAACAATACGACAAACTCATTCTAAGGTGTGACAAAACTTCCATATTGACTGTGGAATATTTTCAGGCATCTGTAATAAAATGAAATAATGTTTGGGTAGAATCAAAGGTTGTTTAAAAATTATAAAATAGTAGTTATATTTTCAATATTTATGTATTTCAGTTTTGTGAAGACCTGTATCAGCATTATCAGACTGCCAGTTAAGAGAATAAATGCCTGTTCATTTTCCAAATTCCCAATGCACCAATAGTATTCTGTGTACAGCTCTAAAAATGTGGTATGTGTTTCACAATGAAAAGACAGTCAAACTAGCATTGACAAGTAGTCAGCAAAGAAAATTTGGAAAGGCATATTTTACATTTGTAATCATAAAAAATCCTACTTTTTAAAATAGAGAATGATTAAATGCCTTTGATGATTAAATTTCTTCTGTAAGACTGAGTCTAATTGTCACATTGTTTTCCAGCTTTCCTTTTTGCTGCCTCTGTTCCATCGCCCATAGGAGGGGCGCTTACGGTAGAGCTATTTGCGTTTCCTAGACACCTTTGTTCCTTTGAGTGTTCATTGTTCTTTATCCTTTGTCACAATATCACTGCTCTATTCTTACAAAAGTCATAGGTAAAATATTAGAGTTAGTTTTCCAGTAACTTGAAATCTTTGGCTTCTCTGTAGTCTCCTTAGTGCCTTATTTGAATGTGTAAAATACACCTTAAGGTTTTTGCATAAAACCTTTTTAGCTCTGGTAGCATTTTAAAGCTCTTATCAAGATTTGACCTAAATGTGAAGCAATTTCAGCAGCACTATTTTCAGGAACTGATGCAAGCCTCTTTTTCCCTCAGGGAAATCTGTGCTACGGAGAGGTAGAAAATTCTCTTTGTTCACTGTGAGATGGGAGGGGAAAGACGGGAGGAAATGGTTTGCATTCGCTGAGCTGCTTTCAGGACCACTGTTTATGTCACTTCTCTTACAATAAACTGCCTAATTTTCTGAAGTCTTGCAATGAATAGGCGTCACAATATTATGAGGAAGGCAGGATTTGTACTATTAAAATCACCATAGCGAATTATTTCAGTCAAAGTGTTGGTGATTTTGAATGTCAAGATTCTTCTAAGTTTAAACTCTTCTGTTCTTTCACCATTTAAAATATTCAGAAGCATTTAAGGGGCAGAGGAATGAAGAAGAAATGTGTTTATTTTGTACTAGGGGTATTCTTTGTGAGGATCCTTTCATTTTGTCATTTACAAAGTATTTGGGAACACAAATATCTGAAATTGTTCTTAAAGTTTCACTTGTGCTGACCACCCCCATTGTTTGTAGGAAGCTTCTGAAGAAGGCATCAGTGCTATCATTTGATGTAGGAAAGTCCTCATTCTTAGCAATGAGCAAACGCTGTGTTTTCCATAGTTGAAGTCCAAAGTGAGTGGGCTTTTGAACTTTCTCTCTCAGCCTACGTCTGCTTTTTGGGAGGTGGTATTGCAGTTGGGATCCTCCCAAGGGGGAGTGTGCTGTGGCTCGCACCGCTACTGCCTCTCCACATTTGCTCTGCACAGAAACCAGCATGAGGGAAGCTGGGGGCTACATGCTCGGGGCTTGCCCTGGCCGAGGGAAGGACGTGGACACAAGAAGTGGGAAGCTATAGGTTTTGTAGCGACCCACTGCTGAATTTAGGGTATGGTGGAACCAACTGTGTCCATGGGAATTGCCTTGCATGTCCTTCAGAGACCGGAGACCATTATCATTTTATACTCATAGTTCCCACTGTTTAGTGCATTGGAATTGGAGTTTGTTAAGCTGTTTGGATGGACAGAAAGATCACAGAGCTTATTAATCAGAAAAGGAGACTGGAGAAGACTTATGTTATATGCCATAGTTTTAAAATACTTGTAGAGTGAGCTGGTGAGAACAGAGCCACTGGGCATATCAGTTTCATGTTGTGTTTCCTAATGAAATCAAGTGACCTACCTATACAAAATTAGAGTATAACAAGGTCTGACTTTGTCTCTTTATCTCCCAAGGCACATAAGTATAGTATTATAACAGTGTGCTGCAGTAGAAAAATTGCTCTGAAAAATAGATACACACCAGTAGTGAACTCTATTAAGAGTCGCTGCGTATTAAGGCAAAAGAGGATCAGGGACACAAAATAAATATATTTAAAATCCACAAGTGACACAATGGGAAGACAATGTCAAGAACTAATAAACTATTTTCTTTTGAAGCCCTTCACGCCAGCAAAGGCACGATGCTGCTGAGATGAGAGATCAGAGACCTAAAAAGCAGGTATAAGAGGCTGGTAAAAGTCTTTAACAAGGCCAGGGCTTACATGCTAGCGAAGATTAGCAACGGGGTCAATGTCAAAATTCAGCCTGCCCTGTAAGGCGAGACTGCAGGCAGGGCATGATCAGCGTTGCTCAATCCAGTGGGTAAATATTGCTGTGTGTTGAGCAAGGTACAAGTCACAACAGAGCCCTCTTGGAATCAGTGTTAGGAGGGCTTTGTGGCAACTAACTATTCTGTTTAGTTATTTATTAATAGTTAATAATATCAGACTAATGAATAATTAATAGTTCTTTGAAAAGTGCATTTGCTTCCTCATGTTTACCTTCCTCTTCCACTCTTTCTTTGCACATTGGTCACCCCTAAAGGTAATTATTGCAGGTCTGCCGGCACAGTTTTTTTTTGATTTGGGGTAAAGCACAAGAGTACTTTAGGAAATAAAATACAAAAATAAAATAGATATTAGAAACACAAAAACCTCTGTGAAATTGCCAATCTTGCAACTTGCACAGTGATTCTTGTACAAAGCATGGAAATACCTGTTCCTAGGAACCGGATATTAATAAACTACCATAGACATTCCGTGTTGCTAATTTTGCAGGTCTCTGTGGAAGGGAAGGTGGTTTAGCTCTTCGGGTTTGGGTTGTGGGAGAAGAGAATAAGGTTCACTGCATTTTAGGCTCCCTGGTTACACCTTTCTTTCTCCCCATGCTCAAAGTCATACTGGTGTTGCCACTAAAAATCGGAAGGATCAGTGCTCTTTGCAGTGCATGTTCCCATGTGGCCCTGCATTCATCCAGGGCCATCTGCCTCATTCTAAGGTGGATATCTCAAACCCCAATCCACCCATTTCAGTCGATTTTTGGATCAAAGAATATAATCTGCCAACCTGCTGAAAGCATGTGCTGCAGCAGAAAGAGGGATTTAATCAGCAATGCAGACCTTAAGCAAAGTTGCTGTTTGAGGTGAGAAGACCCTTGCGTGAAGGAGGTCTTGGGTAAGCTGGACCACAGCGGGTGGTGGGACGTGTGCTCAATGTGGCTGGTGGCTGTCTAACTGTCTGTAACAACTGACTCAGTGTACTATTTTTGATTCAGCAAAGGGGAAAGATACGTGATAC